CGGTAGAGATATGCTAAACATAATATGAGTAATAACTAAAACATTAGCATTTGATAAATGTTTAACTCATATAAACCAACATACAGCACAATCCAAATCCATGACAAGTATGTTCATGATCCTTTCCAATATCAACAATTTAAATGAGATTATAACTCATAATAAAACACTTCCATACTTCACAATTCTCATGAGATAACAACTCATATTAAAACACTTCATACTTCATAAATGATACACAGATTTGCTATATCAATGGAGTCCATCCCATATCTCCTCCCAAATAAAATTCGGTTTAGGAGTCCATCCCCTATCTCCTCCTAAACCGTGGAGTACATCCCTTCCACACAAAGCAGTGTGTATAAACAATTATCATATACATGATCAATCAGTACACAGATTCGATGTATTATTCCAATCGTCATATTCGATGACATATTCAACCGATTAGTTTTAATTCACCTAATCATCATGCAGTGTCTACAACAATCAAGACCATCCTCCACCGATAGCCTAGAGCAATTATTTCTAAATAGAAAATAAATGCATCAATAGATAAATTATCAACAATTCTCAAAGGTGAGTGGTTAAGCAATCCAACTCCGCGATTTATTCCCATAATTACCCAATTTCATTAATTCTAACTCAATTTCATGATTTCATAACCTTCCAAATTTATTATACAAATTAATTCATAACAACAAATTAGGGCTTTCCTCCCCCTTTTCTCAACATTGACCCAAAGGCTCAAATATTTTCATTGAACATCAATAACCTCATTTTAAGACCCAAAATATACATGTATGAGTCAAAAGAACAAAACCCCTCTTTATATATTTTGAAACCCTAACCCCCAAAATTACCCAAGTTCAACATTACATCAAAATAACTACAAGTTTATGTCAAAGACCATAAATATAAGTAGTTATCCCTACCTCAAATGGAGAGACCAAATGGAGAAGATGAAGGATTTCGAAGGTGCTCCAAACCCAATAATTTTCGAATCAAAATGAAGAGCAAGCCATCCCTTCCTCTTCCTCTCAAGATTTCTCTTTTGTTCTCCTTCCTCTCCTTTAGTCGAATGTGTGTGTGTGAGAGTGTTACTAGTGTTTGCCATGCTAGGGAATGGTGATATTTATAGGCAAATCTGGTGTAACTTGGCATAGAAGCCCACTGGTTAGAATTGAAAAGTCAAGTTAGGATTTATTGGTTCATTAAAGCCCACTAATAAATACTAGTTGGATTATGAAAAGACACTAGTTGGATTATGAAAAGACACTAGTTGTCATTAAATGAACACTAATAAGGATATTAAATGAACCACTAATAAGGACATTAAATGAACCACTAATAAGGATATTAAATGAACAAGTTTGTCGTAAAAGCCTACTAATTGGAATTTGAAAGGACAAGTTTGAATATGAATGGACCATTATGAAAATTTAATGGACATTAACCCTCGGTTTCCAACCACAATCAACTTGTTTTTCCAAACACACCCAACTTGTTTCAAACCTGCCCAACACGACCCAAGACTCATATACAAAGAGTAAAGGACGAAAACGGGAATAAGACAACAACACATCCACGGAACTGAGTCCGGAATACAATTAAACAATGAAGGGAAAATCGGGATTGCTATATGTCCAGAATTTGGCATCTTCGCTCGAGCGAGTCTTTTTGCACTCGAGCGAGCCTTGGGTTTTTACTTCTTCACTTGAGCGAAGGTTCTTACGCTGGAGCGTGCGTCTGCGTCTAGATTGGACCTGAAGGTTGGTATTCTTCGCTCAAGCGAGCTTTCTTGCGCTCGAGTGAGTGAGCCCTATGTTTTGTGTTTCTTTGCTCGAGCGAAAACTCTTGTGCTCAAGTGTGCTTCTGGGTTGCAGACCTGAAGCTTCGCATTGTTCGCTCGAGCGACACTTCTTGTGCTCGAGTGAGGTTCTTTTTTGAATATATTAGTTGGCAGTAGCGTGATATACATCACTTTTTCATCATCTTTTTCATCCAAACCCTAACCCGGCTGTCTCTCTCTCTCTAAAGTATCCCTTCTCTTTACAAAAGCCCTTGATCTAGAGTGTCTCAACCCTACTCTCTTTGTTAAAAAATGTAGAGTTTTGTGTGGGCTATCATTTGATCCGAAAAAGTTGGACTTTGGAGCATCTTGGATTTCACTCTTTTTCTCCTTTGAGCTCCTAAATTTGAGGTAGGTATAATCTATTCATTTTTATGAGCTTTAACATAAGTGTCATTCATTTGGTATAAATGGTGTGATTTGGAAATTTGAAAAGTTACAGTTTGAGATTTGTAATATTCTAAAGAGGGGTTTTGTGTTTTTAAGCTCCATGTTCATATGAGGTCTTGAAAATGGGGTTTGTGGATTTAAATAGGTGAAATTTGGTCTTAGGATCAATGTTTGAGAAAAGTGGGAAAATGCCCTGATGGAATTTAAATAATTAATTTGTATAATTAATTTGGTGATTGTGGGAATATGAAATTGATTTGAAAATCATGAGATTGGATAGAATTGGGACTAATTGGTGTAGTGGGATTGATGAATCACTCACCGATGGAAAATGTAATAAGTTATCTATTTGATAGATTTATTTATCTATTTAGAAATAACTATTTTGGGCTATCGATGGAGGATAGTCTTGATTGTTACAGACAATGCATGATGATTAGGGAAAATTGAAACTAATCAATTAGATTGTGTCATTGAATGTGACGGTGGAAATTGGCACATTGAATATGTGAATTGTTGGGTCATTGTATATGACTATGTGTTTAAATACATTGTATATGTATGTTGTGTGGGAGGAGATAGGAGATGTATTCCATTCGTTTGGGAGGAGATAGAGGATGGGCTCCACTGATAACTAAGTTGGCCGGAGTGTCCTGGGTGCAAGTCCCGAAACCTTATTTATTTATGGGTGTCGGTTTCCTCGGACATAGTTCCGTAAAATGGCATGTGAATAGAAGTGTTGAATGATGTTTGTTATTGAAGTATTGTTGAATGAGTTGTAGTCTCATATTGAATTGTTTAAAAGAAAATGAGCTATGTAAATGGATTGACTGGGAGAAATGACTGGAACTGAATAGACATATGAGTATCAATGTTAATAGATCATGGAAAGATGTAAGATGGCTTAAGAGTAAAATGTTTACCGAATGCTAATGTTTTAGTTAATTCTCATGTGATGTTTAACGTATCTCTACTGGGCTTTGGCTCACCCTACTTGGGACACTATTTTACAGGTGCAGGTGATATGCCGCCTCTGAGATAGCTTGGGAGGTTTAGGAGTTGAAGACTTCCTTTTTTGTTATTTTGTTGATGTTATATGTAATTCCAGGCCAAGGGCCTAATATGTAAAGAGTTAGAACTCTCTTTTGTTGTAACCAAGTGTTGACTTAGAAAGTTTCTAAGCCCGTTGGGCATTTACTTCTGTTGTCAACATGTAATACTTTTTGTAAAGAATACTCTGATGAATGAATATATTTTATTTTCCTATGTCTATAGATATTATGAATGATTGATTTATGCATTTATTTTGAGGGCGTTACATCTTACCTTTTAAACCAAACTTTAATGACCCTCTTCCGTATACTTGTTGGTTGACAACAATTAATATGTGAGTCACACTCGTCTTTTTCAATTGTGAAACTCTGTGCACTTCACTAAAATCTTATTTTAGTTCCTTAATTTTTATTAAAATTTCACTTTTGTTTCTTTACTTTTGATTACGCCCTCAAAACAATACTTGGCTCATTAATGGTAAATGAATGGAATAGTGACATTATAACTTGAAGAATAAAAAAATTGAAAATCAAGCTTGAAAATGAATGAATTAAAGTGTAATTAACCTAATTAGGGGTTTTGAAACTCTTCATGATCATGCCAAATATAAATAAATAAATAAATAAATAGCAAGGTTCTTTTCTCCATTATTCATGTTAAATTTGAAACGTTTCTATGCAGAATATTGCAAATGAAAGGGCGAAGATGGTACTGAGCAAAGGTGACGAACATGCAGAAGAGAAAGTAGATGAGGTAGTAAATCGGTTTTTAAAGGATGTTAAAGTGGACATGTTGGAGACCAAAGGATGGCCTATCAATCTCTCTGCTTATGTTGTCTCTAAAGCAGCTCTTAATGCCTACTCAAGGATTTTGGCAACAAAATTCCCCAATTTCCAAGTAAATTGTGTTAGCCCTGGTTTTGTTAAAACCAACATGAACTGCAATAATGGAGAGTTTGATGTTGAAGAAGGCGCGAAAGGCCCTATAGCGCTAGCTTTGACACCTGCCGATGGCCCTTCTGGATTGGTCTTTGATCGGATGGAAATATCAAGCTTTTGATAGCTGCTTTGTATATTGAATACGAACCGTGGAAGAGAGATAGAATTCGATATCTCAGTGAATTCCTGTCACGTCTCATACCAATGGCAAGCTTGAGCCCATACATAAACCACAGAAAACATCCAAGGGTGTCCTTGTTTTCTTATAGAGAGACAAAGAGCTCTATATTGTGAATTTTAAAAATCTCCATCAACCATTTTTAATTTACAATAAAGATTTGTTGAGCTTTAGCAGTAGAGCTTTGTTTTTGCACTTTCAGATCGATAGAACTAACAATAGGTACTTCTCTAAAACCTTACAATCTTGCTTGCTATGGACCCATCTTTGCCCAGGAAGATCATATTGTTTTTCTTATGTTTTGAAATTTTCTCTAAAATCACAAAATGCTTACTAATCCTTCGTTTTCAATAGGATTTTAATGGAACTTAATGAAATTGAAACCAATGACTTTTTGCTTAAATTATTACATGAAGAATTGAACCTTTTTAGGGGTATAAAACTCACTTTTAAAGTCAATTTTGGTGATCCTATTTACACCACAAAATCTCCTTACATCCCATTTTTTTTCATTTTTTTTAATACAATTTTGTCCCTACTTAAAATTACCAAAAAGTACTCAAACTCAAAAAATTTAAATCATAATTCCTCATTGCACTCACCACTTGTCTCCACTAGTCTACTGCCACTATCGCCACTCACCGTTGCCCCTTTCCACTCCGTGACAATCGTCGACACCCCTGACCTCTCCCCTTTACCTCCATCCGTTCTTCTTCTTAAACCCTAGATTTAGAGGGGGGTCATAATGGGTGAAAGGGGCTAGGTAGGAGGTCATGGAGAGGGGATTGGATTGCAATGGAGATTCAGGTCACGGTAGGTAAGGAAGTTGGGAAAGGTAGTAGGGGAGCTAGGAAAGGGGTTGGGTCAAAATGAAAGAGAGTTGGGATTGATGGTTGGAGTGGAAGAGATGCCAACTATAGTGGCCGGAGGTGGTAGTTGGAAATGGTGTAGAGTAGGAGTGTAAAAATGGCCCGCAGCCCGTGGGCGACCTGAAGCCCGGGATGGGCCCAACTCAGTTAGGTTCAGGTCCGAGCCTAACTCGAGACCCTAGGTCTGGGCTTGGGTCGTCACTTTGAAGGCCGACCCGCCTAGCTCGGCCCATTGGCCCACTCAAAGCCCAGTCTAAGGGCCCGACCTGCCTAGCTCGTCCAAGGCCCAGGTTTATTTTTAGTGGAAAATAATAAAAGTTTAATAGAAAAAAGCGAAAATAAAAATAAAAATTCAAGCCTACTGGTCCCGCCTGAGGCCTGAATACCCCCTAGGCCTGGGCTTGGGCTTAATTTTCTGGCCTGTCAGCCGGCCTACCCTGAATTTTGGCCAGAGCCTGGGTGGCCCGACATGGGTTGGGCCCAATTTACACCCCTAGTGTAGAGTTCAAATTTCAGAGGTAAAAGGTGTAAATGTAACAGTATGTTTGGTATTATAGTGGGTGTAAGGAGAGACAAAAATTAAAATTTTAAATTTGTGTGGTGTAAATAGAAATTGAATATAATGAACAATTGTGCTACATTCCACAAAAAATTCGTACAAAAGCACCATTTCATAGACTTTGACCGTAAGAGTATTCACTTACTCTGTAACGCTAAACTCTTACTGATCAGAGTCTCTGAAATGGTTACTTTTGTGAGAGATTTTCATGGAAATAAATCATTTTCCTATAATGAAATAGGTCTAATAACCTCCCTCGTAGACATGTCAAGGTTCAAAAGTGGGGTATTGAGAAGTTATCAAGTTATTGGGCTATTTGGTACAATTTATTAAAGTTAAAAGTTAATAATTAAAAGGTAAAAACCAAAAATATTTTTCCCTTAGCTTTTAGACAAATAGTTTTTTTCAACACATTTAAATTATTTTTGTCTAATAAGTTGTAAGTTAAAACTACACCAAATAGTATGATACAAACTCCCAACAAAAAATTATAAACAATTTAGATAAGTTGTACTAAACAGTCTCATTCTCTCAAACAATCAAGAGTTCAAATTTGTTTAGAGTACAAATTTATTTACAGACATGTGAACAATACTAACTTTCTCTCTGAAGAATAACTTCACCCAAAACTGCTTATTTGGAATGAACCAGTGAACTTCCCTCACGATGATGTTCTCCAACGATGTCACCTGGGCAAACGGGGCCACAAATCTCATTTTTTCTTCAATCGTTCCAATCAGGAGAAGTGGGTTGGTTTATTTCCTTCTATCTACATAATTCTCTGTCTTCGTTCATGATCATGTTGGGTGAAAAGTAGTTCTAGAGGAGCAGCAGCTGTGGAACGGCGATTCCCCTTTCATGGTGCAAGATCAATTTATGTGAGAAAAGAATGCCAAGGTATAGAATAGAAATAAGAAAGTGGTGCTTAAAAGAAATTTGTAGTATAAAAATTGTTGAACTTGAAAGATTTATTATTTCTATTGTGTAATAGCCATTGTAGATTTCTGTGATTGATTTTTTATTTCAAAAAATTATAATGCAACAAAAATATTAGTTTTGTGAATTTTAAAATCAAAAATATTATAATCTTATCACATTTTTGGGCAAGTCAATGCAATTTTTTACCTTTTTTCTATGAAATTTTATCAAAACATAATTTGTCATAAACTCTCCAATCCAGAATAATAATATACCTCGCAACTAATTAATGAGACAGATGTTTACATGTTATTATCATTTATCTTTTATTAGGACCTACTTATGAGGTAGTAGCTTACTAGCTTGAGAGACCTCTGCTACTTCGCTAGCTAATGGCCCCGTTTGGTAAAGCTGTGGAAAAGTAATTATGGGCCTGTTTGGTAAAACTTGTAAGTTGCTTATTTCAGCTTTTGACTTAATTTAAGCTATAATGTTGTGTTTGGTACAACTTAGACTCTCAGATTATAGCTTAAAAAAAGCTATTTTCAGCTCAAATAGAGAAGCTGCTCGGGGGATGCTTACAAATTATAGCTTAAGCGCGCAGCCCATCCTTGAGGTGTGTAATGACTTAAATGCCCCTCAGATATTCCAACTATTACCAAAAACCCACTATATAAGCCTTGTTCTCAGCACTGTTCACTTGTGAGAGAGAGACATAGGCGATTTCTGGCAAGGGCAATTTTCGGCGAGGGCGATTTCCAGCGACTCAACATTGTTCTCAACTCTCTCTCTCTCTCACTCACACACACATGATTTCCCGCAAGAGCTCTCCCTCTCTTTCTCTCTCCCTCTCCCTCTCTCTTTCCATCGTAATCTTGGAGCTATGGCCGTAGTGATGATCAAAGATGTTATAATTTTCCTTCAACAGAGACCAGTTCTACAAGCTTTCGAAGGTTTCTTTGTGTTTTTTTACGGTTTAGGTGTGGCCGTTTATGCATTCGAAGGAATTGGAATGGTTTTACCACTATAATCAGAGATCAAAGAGAAACAAAAGTTTGGAAAAATTCTGGGTTTGTCATCACGATCTAAACATTTCAACCATCGCGATCTGAACCATCGCGATCAACAGCGTGAACCCTAGCTCTCTCTCCCTTTTCGCGATCAACGCCGGTGTGACAACGGCTCTCTCTTTGTGGATCAATCTGAAACCCTAGCACCGGAGCTAGGGTTTTCAAATTGGTTTTTTATGTGTGTGTGTGTGTGTGTGGAGGTTCAGTGCTTGTCACGCCCTCAAAATAAACCCATTATATATATATCATTGACATGCATTATTTAAAGAAAACAATTTATTAATTCATTCATCAGAGTATTACTAAATAAAAGCATTACATGTAACATCAAATTAAATGCCCTACGGGCTAACATCTTTCCAAGCCAACACTTGGACACAAAAATATGAGTTCCAACTCAATACACGTAAAGCCCTAGGCTTGAATGTTTACATGTACTAACAAATAGAAACAATTAACTAAAGATAGTCTTCTTCAAATCCAAAAGCCAAATCCTCCCAAGCTAAGTCCTTGGAGGTAGCTTATCACCTGAACCTGAAAATGATGTTCCCATAAAGGGTGAGCCACAGCCCAGTAGAAAAATACTAAACCAAATATAAGCAATGAATAAAGATATGGCATTCAATAGATGGTTAACCAAGATAATCAATTAAACTTAATACAGTCTCATGTTCACTAACGTCTATGACATGTTTCATTCCCATTATTTATCAATAAGGCTCAGAACCTGGCCAAACTTACAAACATTGAACTTAATATACACATTCACATTACTTCCATATCACAACACAGATGAGACTCAGGCTGCTATCAAACACATTCAATACTTCCCGTTTGTACACATTTTAGTGCCTGTATGCAATAACATGAAAAAAACACTTCAATATAATGAGCACACATAATGTGATGCTAATGGAGTCCATCCCTTATCTCCTCCAAACAAAATCCGGTTTAAGAGGTCCATCCCTAGCTTCCCACTAAACCGCCGGGAGTACATCCCTATCCTCCTCCAAACATATGCAATATGCCAATGCTCATCAATACATGTATTTTCTGTATCAATACAATAGTCAAAATTAATGACTTAACCAATGTGATTAGTTTCAATTTTCCCTAATCCACATGCAATGTCTACAACAAACACGATTATCCTCCACCGATAGCCCAAAACAGTTATTTCTAGACTGGAAATAAATATATCAACAATTCAATAGGTGAGTGATTTTAATTATCCAACTACACCATTTAATCAATGAATTCCTCAATTTCATGCATTTAACCAATTTCCCCAATTTCCTTAAATTAATTATACAAATTAATTTATTAATACAACTAGGGTTTTTCCCAAAATTACCAAAGTACTCCCAACATATCAAAATACCAAAACTTAGAACAAAACTTATAGGATGGAGTAGGAAATCCCTACCTCGAAGAAAATAACCCGAATGGAGAAGACGAAGATGAATACCCAAATTCCAAAGTGCTCCAAACCACCAAACGTTCAGATTGAATGAAAGCCCTTGACTC